TTAAAGTCTTATATTGTAAATAAAATATATCTTTCTTTAAACTATATACTTTCCACGAACTGCCCTTAGTGAAGTTATATTTCACTTTCACACTACTATAATCTTGCAACAAAGCTCTATAGCTATATGCTTTATTACTTGTGCTGTATTAAGAAGGCTACAGTCTACTTGTAATAATATAACTCTTAAATAATAAATTTTAAATTTTAGCAAATAATTAAAGCAAATAATAAATAAAATAAGTATTTTTTTATTTACTTTTTGCTAATTCTTAAATGATTTGATTATATAGGCTAGGTGCTAAGAAAAGGGACCAAATTGAAAATTTTTTAAAATTTTTTTTTTAAGTTTAACTAATTTAAAATCAAGTTGGAATATTTTTTGCTTAAAAAAGAAGTACTATTATTTTAATAAAATTTTATGCTAGAGGAAAAATAGTATAAAAAGCTGGTTTGATCAGATAAATATTTCTGATATAAATCATGTAAATCGATGTAAATCACAAGATCATTTTGGAATTTATCAGGAAGATTGATAAACCAATCAAAATCGTACAAATGCGGTAATATGTATTAGATATGTAACTTAAGAATCTAATTTTTTTTTGATTAGTATCTTTTTTCTTCAATTTATTATCTACTAAGAAAGTAAGTATTTTGGCTTTACTTAAGATTAGTAGTGTTTTAGATTAAGCAAATTTTTTATTTAAAATCCAAAAATAACTTTTTTTTCTATTATATCGTGAGCAGGTTGAGTTGAATATAGCCAACAATAGGTATGATACATTTTTAGTTATGTTTTCTGATATTCGTTATGCTTAATTAGTTTAAGCTTAGGTAGCTTCTAATAAAAATATTCTGGCTTCATTCTTATTATGAATAGAATTAAGAGGGATGAAATAGTACATCTATTTATTATCAAAAATATGCAGATATGAATAGACCGTGTAATAATATTTTTGCTTGGTCATTATTATTAAATTAAGAATTCATCATTAATCATTGAAATTCTGCAGAAATAAACAGTGGGCGAAATATCTGGCTTGGCTATTGTTACGAACATGGAATTGAAAATAGAACGTATTCATTAACTGAAAATTATAATTATGATAATCCGGTTAGAATATTCTGGCTTGGTTATGTTATAAATATAGAATTGGAATTAAGAAACATGAATATAAAGCATTAGTTTATTGTTAAAAGCTTAGATAGGTAATTATGATAGAATATATTGTATATAATTAGAATTAGTAAATTTTAGAATATGAATACGTATTATAATTAATTATAAATATTCTAATTTCTATCTGTTCATTCTCAAATTGTGTACATCTGCAATACTTATACGTATTTCTTTATATATAGTCCTTATTAGTTATCTATATAACGAAATCTTATGTTTTATTAGTAAATATGTTATAACAGAGTTTTTATCTATTTATGCATATAGGCGTTTGTTACTACGTACAGTACTTCATAGAGGAATAAAGGAATAACCTGATGTAAGCTTATCATATTTTCATAAATAGACTTGAGGGATCATGTTTAATACATGGTAATTTTTTATCTGAAATATTAACAATAGCAGTGACAATTACTTTTACATATTAATTTATAATTACTTAAATTGTTATTACAGTTAGCTGAATTGGTTGTGTTTTGACCTAGAGCCATATATTTTTGAAAGACCTATTATTAAAAACAAAGAAAAATTTTAGTTATGATACTTTGATACATAATCAAGCATTTTATACATAGTTTGCATGAATGAAATAGTAGTATAATATACAGAAATTTAATATCACCCTTGCCCAATAATTTTCTAATTAGTTGTGGTTAAAACTATATATTTTGTTTGATTCTGTGTTTGATTTTATCAAAAAAAAAAAAAATAGATTTGACGCATACATTAGTTTCTTCGATTTTTTTAGAAACACATTCAGAAATATATTCGTTAGCAAAAGAATTTAACCAACTCAAAACATCCTATCAAACAAGTAATGATTATAAATTAGAATTTAAAAAAAAATTAGAGACAGAAGAATCACCTTCTGAAAATGTGGAACTTAGCAATATACAAGATAATAAAAAGATAAAAGATAATGAAGAAATTCAACAATTCGATAATCAAATCATTACACCATTACAAATCAAAACTTTTCAAAGAATATTTGCTCAACATCCTATTAAAGAAAATAATGAAGAGCCCGAAGTTAATGAACCATTAACGACTCTTCTAGATCAGCAGGAGAAGGTGGCTTTTTTTAAAACTTCGTACATTAGTTTGTTGTAAAACCAAAAAATGTTTATCCAAAATTGATCATAAATTTGCATTTTAAACATTCGATAATATTCAAAAATTATCAAAAACTGAATATAAAATGTTTATTTTAGGAATGCTTCATATAATGGCCTGTGGTAAAGAAACACAATATTTAACCGTTAAATATACTTTTAATAATAGTGAAATTTGCAAAAAAGCTTTTCTGACTATATATTTATTATCAGCTAAAAAATGAAAAACCATTCATAGTCATTACCAGATTAATAGTATTAAATCTATGGTATATGCACTTTCAGGAAGAAGATTTTGCCATGCTTTGTCATTTTCAACTATTTTAAATGCTCTTACATTTATTATCAATTATGCAAATTGCCATGAGTTGCCATTACCGGGTAAATTGATGGGTCTGTATTATTTCATCAACAATCACTTCACCAACAGTTCATTTAGCCGACATCACCCCAGGCGAAATTTAGTAAAATATATATCTGTAACTTATCAAATGCTTAACCCTAACCCTATATGATGTTGGCTAAATAAGCATTCGGTGAAGTGGCTGTTGGTGAATTGATTGAAACTGAAATTAAAATTTTGATATTTATAAGTTATCATATAGTGCTTAAAAAAAAGTATCAGTAAATCAAAGATATTTAATTCATTTATTAATACTATTGTGCCCCATATGATAATGTTATTATCATCCGGTAGTTGTTACTGTCATATGCATTTGATCATATTAAATAAGTAATGTGGCTCTAAAAGTTTTGTTTTTCTTTATATTAGAATTTTTAGTACTATTAGTTATTTATAGCAGTAACAACTTGGCCGTACAATAAATTGATAATATTTATATATCAATTTTTTACGTGAATAAGACTTATTTAATAAAATATACCCATATAATAAAAATTTTATTAAGTTGCCACTTTCGAAAAGATACTATGACTATTACATATTTTTCTACGAGTGAAAGTTATATCAGATTATATTGTATTTATCAATCAAGTTTAGATAAAACTTCTGATTTTAATATCAGTCGATGGTCTTTTATGCAAATTTGGAAAAAATACATACCAGAAATTCACTTTTTATCACCTTGAAATGATTTATATACACTTTGTAAAAATATGCAGTTTAATGCTCAATTCTGGACAAAAAAATGAACAAGATCAAAATGTTTAACAATAGAATGCCCATATTAATTTGGCATATCAAGAAAGAGAGTACTATAAGTAAGAGAACTTGTACTTAGAGATTGGTCCGGGTAGAGATCATTATATAATTACTTGAAATATAATATTGGGGATAATGCTGAAATTTTGAAACTAGAGTTTAAGGTTAGTATTTATAGAGTATAGGTAGATTTTTGTAAAAGTTATATTTTTTAAATTGAGACTCCAAAATTTCAGCATCATTCAATTTTAGCATCAACCTGACATATACCC